GGTCTTACAAAAAAAATTAAAACCGGATGAATCTATTGATAAATATAAGCGTAGGCTAGTTGCAAAAGGTTTTAAACAACTAGAAGGCCCTAGAATTTTTTGATATTTTTTCTCCGATAACAAGAATTACATCCATAAGAATTTTTGTTATGGTTGCAATTTTGATTTGCAAATTCATCAAATGGATGTAAAAACTGCTTTTCTAAATGAAGAAATTTATATGAATCAACTCGAGTGTTTTATTGAAGCAGGCCAAGAAAGCAAAGTATGTAAGCTTACTAAATCCCTATATGGCTTGAACAGGAACCAAAGATAAGCTTACTAAATCCCTATATGGCTTGAACAGGAACCAAAGCAATGACATGAAAAGTTTGATTCCTGCATGATTGAAAATGATTTTAAAATAAATAAGTGTGATAAATGCATGTATCATAAGTTTTGGAATAATTCACATGTGATTATTTGCCTATATGTTGATGATTTGTTGATCTTTGGCTCTAACATGAATGTTATTGATGAAACTAAAAATGTTCTTAGAAGCCATTTTGATATGAAAGATCTTGGTGAGGCAAATTTTATTCTTGGAATAAAAGTAACAAAAAAATGTGAGAGAATTTTCCTTGACCCATCACATTATATTGAGAAAATATTGAAACATATACTTTAATGTTGCAAAAATATTGCTACTCATTTTGATTCAAGTGTTCACTTATTTCCTGTTGAAAGTGAAAATGATGTAATAAATCAAAAGAAATATGCTAGTATAATCGGAAGTTTGAGATATGTGATTGATTGCACTGGGCTTGGTATTACATATGCAGTAGGAGTATTTGACAGGTTTACAAGCAAGTCAGGTAATGAACATTGACATGTTATAACAAGAGTTATGAGGTATTTGATTGGAACGAAAAATTGTAGTATGTTCTATAAATAAATATCATGATGTACTTGAAGACTTTAGTGATGGAGATTAGAACACTTTATCAAGTGATTCCTGTTCTACCACTGGTTATGTCTTTACTTAAGGCGGTGGTGGTGTTTGTTGGAGATCAAAAAAGCAAAATATAATTGCTAACTCTACCATGGAGGATGAATTAGCTTCAGCTAGTGAGGAAGCGATTGATTAAGAGATTTATTGTTTCATATTCCTTATTTTGAAAAATCAATTCCTTCTATTTTAATTCATTGTGATAGCACCACCGCAATTGCTAGAGTTCAAAAACATTATTACAACGGTAAATTCAGACCTATAAGAAGAAAACACAATAATGTAAGATCGTATTTGACAAATGGTACCATTAATATTGATTATGTCAAATCTTGTGATAATCTTGCAGATCCTCTTACTAAGACATTAACGAGAGAAAAGACTTGGAGCACATCGAGGGGGATGGGAGCCTACAAATTCTTGAGTCATATATGAGAAAACTCAACTTGGGGACTAGAGATCCTATAACCAAGTTAAAAGGGAAAAACTAATCATATGATGACGTGTTGTGAAAAATGCACTATCTTGCTATTTCCTCCATATGACGTGAGTGCATTGTTTCCTGTAATTTGTGAAGGTTGAGTTGATAAAACTCTTAATGAATATATGTAGCCCATATGGATGGAGTGTTAATCTTACAGGAGTACTTTTGACAGATTTCACCTATGTAATGTGTGGAAGTAGGTCGCTTCCTATGAGAATTGACTTATTCTCAAATGCACTCATGAAATCGGGATAGCATATGGACATAATGTGCTGGCTTTAAATTTAGAGTTCATGTCAACACCTTGATTATGATGTGTGAGCAGTAATATTTTATTTCTCTTAAGCAGTCATAGTTCAAGTCTGAGACGACTACGACTCGGGAGTAAAAATTATTGCATCACTAAGTGGAGTTCAATGCAGAGCACACCTTCATTATTTTTTCAGCTAATACATTCCCTTGTCAAATATTAAAATGAGTGGGGGATTGTTAGTGTGTGGATATTTTATTTTTATAAATCCAGATACTAACACATTGTATTGTGCTAACACTTCGGCAATTTATTATCTTAAATGTTGGACATTTATATGGAGCATTACTCCATTACGAGTTAGTGAATATGACACTTCAGTTTTGCAAAGATGCGCAACGTCGTTGAAGGAATTACTGCCTATTTGTTGGTCACTCATAATTTCTATATTATCTCATTTTTTATTCCTCCGTTATTCTTTGTAACTATGTAACTTATGTAACCTCTAGGCCATTTATATTCACTATTTACTAACCATTTATCTTCCTATTCATTGCTAGGAAGATTTCTTGTAGTATAAATAGTGGTGGTCTTCATTTGGTTTAGACACAAAACATAAAAGAAAATATAGAGTGCATATAAAGTGTTAGTCTAAAAAGAGAGGTTTTATTAGTTGAAGGGAGATGTTCTTTTTTTGTGGAGCTTTGGACTTAATTCTTGTCCAGAGTTGTTGAGTTATATATTGTAATTAGGCTATTGTATCCTGGAGGGGACAAGTCAAAGAGGACTACTGCTGGACCGGTGAAAACATTTGCTGCAGTGGGCGTGAATCTCGTTAAAGAGAGAGATATCCGCACCTCAGCCCAAAAAGATTTTATTTCTTCATTTCATTTTCAGTTGTAATCTTCTAATTTTTTGTTATATCGTAAGTTTTCACTAACAATATATATAAGCACATTTTTATGAATATTGGAAAATCGTCTCAAAAAATTTAGTTTTATTTGAAAATTCGATTAATTAGTTTAGTTATATGATAGTTTACATTTTAAATTATTTATCTTATATTTGAGTTAATAGGTTTATCTTGTTAAACTTAACAAGCTCATTATTAATTTATGTCTATCCGATTGTGTGTGAAATTCTCTTGGGACTATTGTTAGATTACATTTCCTTAGTCAAAATTGTTATTTATTTCAATCCATTGACATTAACGTGGTGTTGGGCCTTGTCCAACCTTTTTTCAAGGGAATTTTATCAAAACAGCAATATGTTAGTTTTTTGGTGACACAGTAACAATATTTAATTATTAGTAAAACTAGCATGTTTTAATTAGTTTAGATTAGGAATACCGTATTTTTTCTTTTAATATGATATGTATATTTATAAAAAAAATATAGCAAAAATGGAAATTAAAACATAAAAAAGGTAAGTAGTATTAATAATCCTTCAGTTACTTTTTAAAAGCTGTACTTTTGGCATATATTAAGTTGAACATTTTTTTTTCTTCTTCCCTGTTCTTCATATTTAAAAAAGAATACAAACAAATTTGTCTCCTTTATTACTCAATTGATAAAGAATGCAAATATAATCGAATACGGAAATTTTTTGAAAGCGAAAATTTTCAAATCCCACAACAACAATTTATTCCTTTCGGTTTTATTCATACTTTGGAGATCAGGTATTTTTTTAAATATTTAAATATGAATACGTTAAATGTTTGTATGATTTGAATATTTTTTTTTGGAAGCTCATCGTATGTTCCATTTATATAAATAGAAAATCTCTGAACAAGATAAGTAACAATAATATAATTATATCTGATTATATGATGTGTACAGCTGGATATGTGTTTGATTCTATTTAGACCCATATTAATTATGTATTTTTTTTATTATTTCTTGTTTTTAACAATATGAAATTCTATATGTATTAATTTTGAAACGGTTGTTACTGTGTGATAAAAGTTGTGAATATGAGTTCAATCTTTACCGATTTTGGTACCCTTTGAAACGTACACTTTTTTGGATGTAGATTGGACACTTTTTTTTTTATTTTGGAATACTATTGAAATGTGATCATCACTTATATATTTGTTATTGTAGCCATGGAAAGTATTACTTTATTGGTCATGCATTCTGGGAGGTGGAACAATGAAAATTGCTATAATGATTACAGTACGGAAGCAATTGTGCTAAAAGAGCATGCGACATTTAGAGAACTAATGGATCTTGTTTCAAAGCAAATTTGTGTTGACTTGAGCTTCAACATTGTGAAACTTAAATATAAGATAGAGGGTAGTACTGCACCTCTTGAAATACACAACGACATGGGCGTGAGAGTGTATGTGTCGTTGAAAAAAGATAACAAAGAATTGTCAAAGTATCCTATATGTGTATCCGTATTTGTGAATGACTGTCAATTAGCTGATAGAAATATGTTTGAAGATGGATTCGAAATGTGTGGGCCTGATGGAATAGATATAGTTGATACAGAATCATTAGTGCTTAGTGTGCCGAACAATAGCGATAACATGAATTGCGACATTATTACAAACGACAAACATAAGGTAGTGTTGGAAGATCAAGTTTATAAGGACAAGGGAACTTTAAAGGCTGTGATGACGCAATACGCTATTGATCATAGATTCCAATGGAAAACGGACAGATCAAGTCAAACATGGTATGTGTATTTGGGTTGGATTCTCCTATAATTTTTTTTTCATTATGTTTTTTTATATTATATCAAATATTTATTTGTATTTTACCTAATTCTAATATGGTGTTATTCAAACAGTTATACACTTGTTTGTGTCTCTGATAATTGTGGGTGGGTGTTGAAGTCGTCAAGTATCAATAAATCTGGAATGTTCAGAATTAGAAATTCGTAGATGATCACACGTGTCCATTGAAAAATAAGGTTTATGAACAACGTCAAGCAACAAGCAATCTTATTGGAGGTATGATACAACCCAAGTTAGTTGATCATAAAAGGAAGTTGACGCCAAAGGATATACAACAAGATGTCGGCTTAGGTCTTGGAGTAAATGTATCATACTCAGTGGCGTGTAAGGCTAAGGAAAAGGCTATAATTTCTTTTAAGGGGTACCCCATCTGGTTCTCATGGTAAACTGCCGAGCTACTTATACGTATTGGATGCTACCTACCCTGGATCTCATATAAGGATGAAGAAAATCGATGAAAATCAATTTTTTTATCTTTTTATTTTTCTCTTCCGGTTCATAAAAGGTTTTGAGTGTTGTAAATCAATTGTCGTAGTTTATGGCAGCCACCTCAGGGGGGACTTACAATAAAGTATTTGTTTCTGCAAGTACTGTTGATGGAGCAGGTATTAGAATGATAATATATACACTTCGTTTTGTTGATTAATATATTTATTCTATATGAAATAAAAACTTTATTAAATGTTTTGTGTGTAGAAAATATATTGCCGCTAGCATATGGAATTATTGATTCAGAAAATGATGCATCCTGGACTTGGTTTTTTGAACAGTTTAGAGAAGCGCATGGCGTTAAATATAACATGTGTGTTGTGTCTGATCGAAACGAAAGTATTATAAAGGCAGTTTCGAGGGTATTTGATGGAGTTCCTCATTATGCCTGTATTTGGCATTTGTGGAAAAATGTGAAAACACTATTTAAAAAGTCGCACAATAGTCTGTCGAAAGTTTTTTATGGGATGGCAAAGGCATACAAGCAATCTGAATTTGATGAACTGATGGAAAAGGTTGAACAAGTTGATGTTCGTGTAAAAAATTACTTGGAATCAGCAAGTTATGAAAAATGGGCTAGGGTATATGGAACAATTGATCGAGGAATGGTTATGACATCAAACATAGCTGAGTGCATAAATGCTTGTCTATTTGAAGCAAGGGAATTACAGGTATACGATTTTCTTGAGGAAGTAAGACAGATGTTTGCAAGATGGAATTTGAAAAATCATACGTCTGCTTCACATACATTCACCACACTTTGTGGTAGACCACAAGAGATGCTTGTTGCTAATGAAGAAGCAGTATTACGTATGAAGGTATGTTGTTATGATTTATATGAACATCAAAATTATATGACATAAGTGTTTATTTATTTTTGTCAGTTGAGCCATCAAAAAACTATGTGTTTAGTGTTCATCACGAAGGTAGAACCTACATTGTTTGTTTGGAAAATAAAACTTGTACTTGCAAGAGGTTTCAAATACATGAAATACCATGTTCGCACGCTTGGGCTGTTTTAAAGAAAAAATATTTTGATGTTGGGCCATATTGTTCCGACGTGTACAAGCCAAGTAACTTGTTGAATACCTATAGCATTCCAATTCGTCCGTTACCTGATCAAAACGAGTGGAATGTACCTGGGTATATTAAGGACCAGATAGTGCAGCCTCGAAATCACAAAAAGCTCCCTGGAAGGCCATCCAAAAAGTATCGTGACAAGATGTATAGCGAGCTATATGGTAAGAAGAGAAAGAATTCTTGCAGTACGTGTGGTTTAAAGGTCACAATAGGCGTTCATGTAGAAATGGACCGTGTATTGTATAGTTAATGATGTTTCTTTTTTGTATATTTTTAGAGTTAGGCTTCTTTCAAACTTCTTATGCCTTCTGGTTAATAAAATAACATGGAATTCTTTGTTCATGGTTGTATCTTGAAATGTATTCGCTCTACATCTTCTCTCGAATAATATTACTTGTATTCGAAACCTGATTGTATCTACGTTTTAATACAAATTGTTACATCCATTTGAATGCATACAATTGTTGGATTCTTCTTTTTGAATTCGGCAAATATTTTTTTTGTATACGTTTTCTTTCGAGAAGTGTTCATTCATATCCATGTTTGCAATATATATTATATTTGTCCTATCTAAATTTTATGAGTGAACTTGTATGTGTCACATACACAACCTTTGCAGTTACTTGTATTCCAGTTGAATTGTATTTATAATATAATATAAATTATATTTTGTAACATTTTAATAAATACAAATTTTTTTTCTTCGTTTTCTATTGAAATATATTCATATCCCTGGTGTTAATATCTTTTGAGGAAGTGTTCATATTTATGTTTTTAATCTATATTGTATTTGCTCTATCTAGAATGTATGAGTAAAATTGTATGAGTCACAAACAAAATCATTGCAGTTACTTGTATTCAAGTTAAATTGTATTTATAATTTAATATAAATTGTTTTTGTAACATTTTAATGCATACAATTTTTTTTTTTTGATATTCGTTTTCTCTCTAAAAGTATTCATATTCGCTATACGTATTCTATCTTTTTTATGTTGTTAGTATTATTAATTGTATTTATAATTTAATAATTTAATATCAAGTCTTACGTCCATTTGAAACATATGAATGCATACATTTTGTTAGATTATTGTAATTATTTTGGTATACCTTTTATAATGAAATGTATTCGTATCCATGATTTTAATCTACATTATATTTGTTCTATATATATTGTATGTTGGTAGAATCATATGTATTGCACTTAAACTTAAGCTTGAACACTTTAATATTAACCCATAACCTTTGAAACCATAACTTCAAGATTTTATACATTAATAAACACAAAAGAACTGGAACCCTTTAAAATTGTTTCATAGAATACAAAAACTAATGTCCAATTACACATCAAAAAATGGGCAACAACTAATCTATTTGAATTGTATCAATCTCTTCCATTGCTACATTGAATCTGCTATATCGTGGAGGTGCTTCATTGTCACTTATTGCAACGGCGTCATTCTTTTGTTGGCCATAATTTCAAAGAAGTGTAGCATATCTTGACCGTAAACACGATGCATCCAAAATATTCGCTGGAATACCATGGCCGTATGATAGGTATTCAGCAAAAGCTAGCATATAAATACCACAATCCCTATATTATAAGAAATTAAAAGTTAGTACACAATATAAATTGATAATTTGATGATAGTAAAATCAAAAGAAACACAAACTTACAGAGACCCATGCGACTGTTGAGGAACATTATCTATGAATACTACATTAAAAAACTCATTCTCTTGTTGAGCTTGCGATACATCAATTCCTTTATTGTTGTAATAGTCATTGACTGATAACTTCAAAGGGATCAACTGAGACAGTTTAACTATCTCTGCCTTGATAGCTGCATCGTGACCTGCTGCCCTATATGAGTCATACACGTTGATACACTTATCATTCAATGATATCACAGCCAACACCCAATGAAATTTCTCCTTAACGTGGACAAGAACAAAAACATATTCAATCTTATGTCAAGGTGTAGCAGCATGCATTTTGTACCCTCTAATGTATTCACCAATGACATGTTCTTCATCGGCACAACCAACATCGCTATCTAAATCCAAATATTTTTCCCAAATAGCAGAGATCTTTGAACTAAATACACAATCTACAGTTGTGTATACATAGCTGCCTCCAACATCATACTTGGCTTTTTTCCGTAGATAATATAAAATCACATCAACATGCTGACAAATTTAAAGACAAATGTATAAATACTATAACTACTAATCAATCATTGTTTGTAAAGATAAATGCTAAACAACTCTTACCGAATTATTCAATAACTGTCCTTTGAAATACAGATTATAGAACCAATTCTTATTGTCTACTATGAGAACGCCAAGGTTAATGGCCACAGGAATTTCAGCTAGATTCTTCTTGTAATGGTCTTGATCATGCTTCCTAAAAACTGAATAAAAATAGAAATAGTATATCATTCATTAAAAAAGTAAAGTAATTACTATTAACATTTAAATACAAAAAAATCAAGAAAACGTATATATAAGCTACACCTAACAATAACTGTTGTTGAAACACAAACAAACATTTAACCGGATACAAAAATTTAAATAGTTATGTTGTAAAAATATCTTGTAATTATTCACCAATGACTTACTTTCTGTCATGCTTTGTAAGTAAGCCATCTCGGATCCATGAACGAAACGCATCCCACAACGTTATATCATAATCGCCAGAGATCAAATCAAATATATAAAAAGGTGTTTCAATTCAAAAATGTGGGGCTGACTTGATGAACTACCTGAAATGGTTCAAAAAACTATAACTTAAATACACACTAATAGTAGCAATAAAAAAATGATTACATTAACAAAAGTATTAAAAAAATGGAATATTGTACCAGCAGATGATCCACAATTGGTCAGATACGGAGATGTATTATAAGGACCTGGACGTCTATTCCTACGCGTAGGTAATGGCGTCTGTTCGTTATTGCTGATAGGTTGATCTATCATCAAATTTTCACTGTTCGTACCCAATTGGACATCGATAGTTGCCTGATCTGCCTTTGTTATAATGCATCCTGCAATTGTTGTTGACAGCTGTTCGGTGTATCCTTTTATCAAAGTTGAATGTGGTGCGATGCTACTCTTTATAGAATTGAGACTAGGCATGAATTGATCGTCAAATTCAAACTGTGAATCGGTTGTCACTTTCATGTGATCCAAAATCCGGATAGGGACTGGACATGACATTTGTTCAACATCCTCATGTGAATTTTCAGATACTCCAAGCACTTTTTGTGGGGGTATATCAAATACAAAACTTGATTGATTTACCTATTAATTTCGTAAAAAAAAACACCTTAAAAGTAATGACCCAAATAATGGTATAACAAATGTACTTATAAAATTAAATAACATACTCTAGGAATTGTAGGTCTTGGAGCACTTAATTCATAATCCACTTCAATCAGATTTCGAACAGGGGTGTTGATACAAAAAACCTTATAAAATGAAATTGTTGATATGATAATGAACATTTATTGAGATTGAAATTTAAGGCAAATTTGTATATTGTAATCACACGTTAGGATGTACGACAAAAAAACATAAAACTTGTCTAAAACCTGACTTACCTCATGATCATCGGATTTGGGATATATTCCATCCGGATTGTTGATTGTCTTAAAAAAAATAACAAGAAACATGAAAAAATTTTAATGGATACAAATAATGAAAAGTCATTTAAAGTTGTAAATGATAACAGTTATAATACATGTAATCATAAAACGAGTTAAGATTGCTTGATAGAGTTTGATCATAATCATATAAATGTATAATTATATAAAATATGGGAGGCTTAGTAATGATATTTATTAAACAAGTATTGAGTTTAAAAATGATACACAAATCTTGACTTACATGGGGCACAACATTTGTTGATTTACTGTCATTTGAAGCCTTGAGTGTCTTGTAAAAATATAAAAATCCAATAAACATGTAAACAAATATTAAAAGTTACGACTTCATAAAAAGTGAATAAATTTAACATTTTCGTAAAAAACACCAAAATAGGGATTGTATATACAGCCTAAATTAATAAAAAAAACTACGAGTACCTCTGAATTTCCAGATTCCAATTTGTCACACTGAGCTATAAGAACTTGATTTGATGGAGATTCTTTATTGGTGGTGTATACCCATCTTCATCATTAGGGACAATATGATCATCAGAATGCTCGGGCTGTGTTATATTACAACGTAAATCATTAACAAAAATGTAAATTTGAAATACGTTACATCATTTTATTTTTTATAACAAACCGCATGCTCATCCCGTGTTGAATTGACGGCTGCCAGAACAGTCTTGAAGTTGTCGTTGATCGAATTTCGAATTTCAACAAACTCTTGTTTAACCTAAAAATATGACATAATGATATACTTTATTAAAAATTTATAATTCTAATAAGTGTATAACTATGAAGGATGTACTATATGGTAAATACTTCTTTTCTGAAATCTGACAGCTCTTTCACCCAGCCTTCCACTTTAGATCCGCTTGTTCTCTGAAATATCATTATCACTCGAAAGTTGTATTTTTGTTAGATATGCATGTAGACATTCAGTTTGTTTTAAAATAACCTTAAGTTTCTTTAGTACCTTTTTGGATACAACATTCTTTTTCATCGGTTGTTTAACAGCAATTCGAGGTTCCAAATTTTTTGCAACCTCTTTGGATCCATCAGTCACCAGCTTCTTTGTTCTTTTTCTAACAGGCTACGTTGAGGAACCAACTTTTCCTTTTCTTTTGACCTTTACTACTTGTGGAGGAGGTGCTTGAAAATCATCTTCAGAATCTTTATCGTCACAGCTTCCCTCTCGTGGATAATCATTTGTATCAATTATTTCATCATCTAGATCATCATCTGATGAATCTGAATACTGAGGTGGAGCTTGATTTTCGATACCCTCTGGTGGCAGTTGCAATACTGCATGTTCCCTTTGATTTGGTGTAATGTTCCTGAATTTAATCTGAATTCCAAACATTTTGTTACTATTATAAATAAAACCAATAAGAAAACATACAACTTGGTGATTATTAAATATATGTCGAGTTAAGTACCTTGTTATTAACATCACTAAATATGGTGTTCATAAGTTTTTTGTATCTACGACTCTCATTGGTCGTCTGCCAGTTGGGCAACCTCGGAATATGGTCAACGACCTGGAAATCAATACTCGAACTGCACTCAAACAACCATACTTGGAATATAATAGGCATTTCCCTGATTCTGTAAAATTGTTTTTCACCATTCAACCTCTTGCTCAGGCTCTTCATCAGCAAATAGAAAGCTTTTTTTCCCCATGGAAACTGACTGTACCTTTCACTTTCAATAAGATCAAAATATAATCTAGGAACTTTTTTGGTAGCTCTTTCACCGGAAAAAATCACTGTCTGGATGAAGTATAAAATTGCAAACTTCAGGCCATCCTGATCGTTCTCCCCTCACACTTTTCAATGAAAACTCCTCATTATATTAATTTTTCTGATCAACTTAACACCCTCAAAATATTTTTCCATGAACCTATTTGGTTCTGACTGATCAAAGATGAAATCAGTTTCTTCGTTGACACAATTTGATCCACTAATCAAAGCAAATTCTCTCAAAGTGAAACGCAACGTAGATCCATTTACACGCATTACAAATGCTTGGCGAGAACTACAATTGAGTTCTAAAGCCATGCAACACCTATGTATTTGTCCGCGAGCACGACATTGATGCATTTGCATATAATTATCAAAGCAGGTGCTTTCACAGAATACATTGTATACATGTCCATGTAAATACTTCATCAAGTCAGCTTTTATGTCATGATTAAAGAAACAATGAATATGGGGAGCTTTTTTTGGTTTATTTTTGACATAAAATTCATTTGCCTGCACATGTTTAACAATAAAATGAATACATACTTAGAAAATTACTGATATATAAATCTATTACTAGTTAACAAAATAGAATATGATAAACTACATTGTATACAAAATAGTGAATGTTCATTCCGAATCATGAATATTGATGACATAAAAAAATAAAATAAAACAAATAACAAAATACAACTAAACTGATACTATAAGTCTATCAAAATTTGAATACATAAAGATGTTGAAGAGAACATAACTACATAATATATGTATACAACAAATAATATAGTATTGAATTAATTAATTAATCAATTTCTGGAATATAGTATTAAGATGATTAATTATTGTACTGTTATAACTATTTCTCAACTCATCTTCGTATAATAACACATTTGGTCCTTCAATTATTATATTACTAATAAATTTACTTATTAGTAGTATTCAATAACATATAATCTTCCATTAATTAAAAATTACTATATTTTTTGCCTTTATATATTTTATATATAAGAAATACTTTTGTAACTATTTTATTGTTGATTGTGGGTAATAATATTTAAGCTGCATATTATACCTGGATAATTAAGTGACTAAATGATTAATAATTATAATATATTTATTACATTTCAATTAATTGATAAAGTAAAAATAGTTTATAAAATATTGAAATATCTAAAACAAAAATTCACCAATAAAGAGTAATTGAGTCTAGAAACAGTTAATAGGTCGAAAAACTTGCAAATTTTAAGTTAATTCTATTAGTAAAACACATTGCACTCTTGTTGACAAGAAATTACTAATATTGACTACTTCAAAATTGTCGTTTTGAAAATAAGCTAATTTTGAGATTAACTAATTTAAGTTGAGAGTTTCTTTTCTTACAAAGTCAAATTATGGACAAAAATAATGGCTACTAGAATACAAAAACAACTACAGGGGCAGGTTCATGGTAACATATGAATCATATGATTTGTACTTGGTTTTTTATATTTATCACATCACATTTAGGGATACAATTTTTTTTTATGTATTTAAAACTATAAGCTTCCAATTTGAAAGACATGAAATTTCAAACACAAAAACCAACTATAGACAGCATAAAATTTAGTTTCGTTAATAATTTAGTACCTCTTCATTGTCATGGCGTAATACTTCATCACTTGGATATTTTTGTTGATCAACACTGGTTTTATAGCATGACACTTTCCTTTTTTTTTGAAGAGCTATCAATTGCCATTTCATACTCTTGTGTCATTCTCGCCGCAGATCCTACATTTTCGATCAATCATTGAGTAATGCACAAATCAAATGAGGGAAATTCCAGAAAATTTTGAATGTTGTTGTTTATACCTCTAGTAATTCTGACAGAATCAGCCATTGCATACAATACACTGTTTTTTTTTCAACAATTCAAAAATCTGAAGAAAAAAAATCTTTTAACAACTGCGTATTGAACATCAAACAACAATGTTTCTGTATATATGAATTTTCATAATCTACCTAATCTTAAAAATTGAAAGAAAATCACAAAAAATATACAAAAAATACAAAATCATAAATGTATGATGTATATTAAAACAAAAATCACATAAATTGTCCATAAAGTCTTGATATACAAAATCAGAACTTTAACAAAAAACGCTAAAAAAATCGAAATCGAAATTTGAACTGACCTTGCCACCACGAAATCTGCTTTTATAATGAACCTAGCTCAAAAATATGCTTGAATCCTTGATAATCAATGGCTTTTCATTATCTACCTAATCTTAAAAATTGAAAAAAAATCACAAAAGATGGATAAAAAATACAAAATCATAAATGTATGATGTACATTAAAACAAAAATCACATAAATTGTCCATAAAGTCTTGATATACAAAATCAGAACTTTAACAAAAAACGCTCAAAAAATTGAAACCGAAATTTAAACTAACCTTGTCACCACGAAATCTGCTTTAATCTTGAATCCTTGATAACAATGGCTTTGATGAAGAAATGTGGAAAATTTGAACAAGGAACTTGAAAATTTGGCTGAAAATTTTGAATTGGTTTTAATTTTTACCTTTCTTGGAACTTTACACAAATAGTTAATTATTTCTTCTTTTTTTTCATTAAATGTTATTGGACCATGTTTTGGTCCAATCAATGAGTTTCCATTAATATATTAATTTAATAATACCAATATACACTAAAATCTGAAATACACATATTTAATAAAAATACGTAACATTAATATAACATATTGCTATTTTGTCATTTTCACTAAAAAATTTAAATTAATGTTATTTTGATTAATTATGTTCTTAAAGTTGCTAATTTTTCCTTTTTTTTTGTTCAATCCATCTCTTGTCCAATCCCTCTGAAAAGCCCAAAAAGTCTCAGACACAAATTTTATTCCTTTCCCTCTGAATTTCGAT